TAGCAATTCTCATATCAGACAAAATAGACTTCAAAAAAAGGGCCATAAAGAGAGACCCAGAAGGTCACTTCATAATACTCAAGGTAAGAATCCACCAAGAAGACATTAACATCATAAATATATATGCACCCAACATAGAAGCACCCAAATATATAAAGAAAATCTTAGAGGACTTCAAGAAAGATATTGACAGTAACACAATTATAGTAGGGGATTTTAACACCCCACTATCAAAAATGGACAGATCTTCCAGACAAAATATCAACAAAGATACTGTGGCATTAAACAACACCCTAGATGACATGGACTTAACTGATATATATAGAGCCCTTCATCCCAAAGAAGCTAAATACACATTCTTTTCAAATGCACATGGAACATTTTCAAAGATAGACCACATGATAGGATACAAAATGAGCCTCAACAAATTCAAGAAAATTGAAATCATACCAAGTATCTTCTCTGACCACAAGGGACTGAAATTGGAAGCCAACCCAAAAGGAAAAAACCCAAAGCACCCAAAATCATGGAGACTGAATGATATGCTATTAAACAATGAATGGGTCAAGAATGAAGTTAGGGAAGAAATCAAAATGTTTCTGGAAACGAAAACGAACTCACAACAACCCAAAACTTATGGGACACAGCGCAGGCAGTCCTGAGAGGGAAGTTTATAGCAATACAGGCCTACCTAAAGAAGATAGAAACATTTCAAACAAACAACCTAACCCTATGCCTGCAAGAACTCGAGGAACAACAACAGACAGCCCAGAGCAAGCAGAAGGAAGGAAATAACCAAGATCAGAGCAAAACTAAATGACATAGAAACTAAAAGCACAATTCTAAGGATCAATGAATCCAGGAGTTGGTTCTCTGAGAAGATAAACAAAATAGACAAGCCTTTAAGTAGGCTCATCAAGAAAAGAAGAGAGAGGACACAAATAAACACAATCAGAAATGAAAGAGGAGAGATTACAACTGATACCACAGAAATAGAAGGGATTGTAAGAAATTACTATGAAGAACTGTATGCCAAGAAATTTGAAAACCTAGGGGAAATGGACACATTTCTAGAAAAATACAATCTTCCAAAACTCAATGAAAAAGAAGCAGAAAATCTGAACACACCAATAACAGCAAAAGAAATTGAAGCAGTAATAAAAAAACTCCCATCACACAAAAGCCCTGGAACAGATGGTTTCACAGGAGAATTCTACAAAGGATTTAAGGAAGAGCTAACCCCTATGCTCCACAGACTATTCAAAAAAATCCAGAATGGAAAACTCCCAAATTCTTTTTATGAAGCCAGCATCATCTTAATTCCAAAACCAGATAGAGACACAACAAAGAAAGAAAACTTCAGGCCAATATCACTGATGAACATAGATGCTAAAATCCTCAACAAAATATTGGCAAATCGCATCCAACAATATCATACACCATGACCAAGTGGGATTCATCCCAGGGATGCAAGGATGGTTCAATATTGGCAAATCAGTAAATGTAATACATCACATAAACAAAAGCAAATACAAAAACTACACGATCATATCAATAGATGTGAGAAAAGCTTTTGATAAGGTACAACACCCATTTATGATAAAAACACTTAGCAAAATGGGAATAGAGGGAGCATTTCTCAAAATAATAAAGGCCATATATAAGAGACCTACAGCCAACATCATACTCAATGGGCAAAAACTAAAATCTTTTCCACTAAGATCAGGAACAAGACAAGGATGTCCACTTTCACCACTTCTATTCAATATAGTATTGGAAGTTTTAGCCACAGCGGTCAGACAAGAAAAGAAAATAAAAGGCTTCCAAATAGGAAAGGAGGAAACAAAACTGTCACTATTTGCAGATGACATGATAGTGTACATGGAAAATCCTATAGACTCTACCAAAAAACTGCTCGAACTAATTAATGAATTTGGCAAAACAGTGGGTTACAAAGTCAATATCCGGAAATCAAAGGCATTTTTGTATACCAACAATGAATCAGGAGAAGCAGAAATCAAGGAAAAAATCCCATTCAATATAGCAAAAACAGAAATAAAATATCTGGGAATAAACCTAACCAAGGAGATAAAAGACCTATATGCAGAAAACTACACAACACTGAAGAAAGAAATCAAGGAAGAAACAAACAAATGGAACCATATACCTTGTTCATGGACTGGAAGAATTAACATCCTGAAAATGTCCATACTACCCAAAGCAATTTACAGATTCAATGCAATACCCATTAAAGTAGCAATGGCATATTTCACAGACATAGAACAAACACTTCAAAAATTTATATGGAACCATAAATGACCCAGAATAGCAGCTGCACTTTTGAGAAAGAAGAACAAAGTAGGAGGAATCACAATACCTGATATCAAATTGTATTACAAGGTAACTGTAATCAAAACAGCCTGGTACTGGCATAAAAACAGGCACATAGACCAATGGAACAGAACAGAGAGCCCAGAAATAAACCCAACTCTCTACAGTCAATTAATATTTGACAAAGGGGGCAGTAACATAAAATGGAGTAAAGATAGCCTCTTCGACAAATGGTGTTGGGAGAACTGGACAGCTACATGCAAAAAAATGAAACTTGATCACCAACTTACACCATACACCAAAATAAATTCAAGGTGGATAAAAGACTTAACTATAAGCCTTGAAACCATTAATGTCCTAGAGGAGAACATTGGCAGGAAAATCTCAGATATTTCACGCAGCAACATTTTTACTGATATGTCCCCTAGAGCAAGGAAGATAAAGGAAAGAATGAACAAATGGGATCTCATCAAAATAAAAAGTTTCTGCGTGGCTAAAGAAAACAGTATTAAAGAAAACAGTATTAAATTAAAAAGACAACCAACTGTATGGGAAAACATATTTGCCAATGATACCTCAGACAAAGGTTTAATCTCCAAAATATACAAAGAACTTACATGACTCCACACTAAGAAGACAAATAACCCAATTAAAAAATGGGCAAAGGACTTGAACAGACACTTCCCCAAGGAGGACATAGAGAAGATCCAGAGACACATGAAGAAATGCTCTATATCGCTAGCTATCAGAGAGATGCAAATTAAAACCACAATGAGATACCACTTTACACCAGTCAGGATGGCTATCATAAACAAAGCAACCAACAACAAATGTTGGAGAGGTTGTGGGGAAAGGGGGACCTTAATTCACTGTTGGTGGGATTGCAGACTGGTACAACCATTATGGAAAACAGCATGGAATTTTCTCAGAAAAATAAAAATCGACCTGCCTTTTGACCCAGCAATTCCACTGCTAGGATTATATCCTAAGAATCCTAAAACATCAATTTCAAAGAACCTATGCACCACAATGTTCATAGCAGCACAATTTACAATAGCCAAGAGTTGGAAGCAACCTAGGTACCCATCAGGAAATGAATGGATCAAAAAATTATGGTACATATACACAGTAGAATTCTATGCAGCAGAAAGAAAGAAGGAGCTACTACCCTTTGCAACATGGATGGAACTGGAAAGCATTATGCTGAGTGAAACAAGCCAGGTGTCGAAAGACAAATACCATATGATCTCACCTTTAACAGGAATCTAAACAACAAAACAAAGAAGCAAGCAAAATAAAAACAAAGACACTGAAATAGAGAACAAGGGGACAGTGACCAGAGGGGAGAGGGGAGGGAATTTAAGGGGAAAAAAAGAGGAGGGATTTAGAGGAACAAGTATAAAGGACACAGGGACAATAACTAAGGGGGGTGGAAATGGGAGGGAGGTGGGGAGCATGGGGCGGGGTGGGCTGGGATGGGAGAAATAGAAAACTGTACTTGAAAAATAACTAAATAAAATTTAAAAAAAAGAAAAAGATAGCTCATTATATTCAAGCAGAAACTGCAGGCATTGTTAAATCTTTCCCACGCGCATGTATCTTAAAATCTAATCTTGTAGTGATTAGACTGCACGAGAGAATGGTGAGATGCTGTCTTCTGATGAGTAGATGCTAGCTTTGGCTTTTGTCCATTTCTTCAGAAAAGGGATGTGATTCTATAACAAAAAAAACTAAATTTCATCTAGCGATTCAATTAGTTCAAATAATCTTCAATAACTTCTGGTGAAGTTCTGGTAACTTGACAGTGGTCGGGAAAAGTGATGGCACCTGGGGTTCAATGAATCCTTTCATCCTACCAGCAATTTCCACAGCAAATACTATTTTTTCCCTAAAAAATTAGTTTAATTTTCTTCCATTTCTTGGGAGGGACATGTCATTTCACTACAAAATAATTTAGTTAATAAAATAAGATGCAAAAGGTAGTATGTTTGTACAGTGCTTTGCAAGTTAAAGCATTTTTACAGTTTGCATTCAATAGCTTTACTTATCATTTGATAACTTTTTGTATTTTATATTTACATAATTTTTATATTTCAAAGCTATGGCTTTCAAGGAGTGTTTTTAGTGATATAATTTTACCATTTAAACTTAAAAATTACCTTGGAGAAAAACCAGGGCAAAAAAGTGAAATTTTTGTTAGAAGTTTACGAGGCTATGTTTTGTACGTATGGGTGCATTTGGAAGTGGTTTTGCTCAGGGAGGCTCCTTCTGATGGATCACAACCAGTTTCTACAGATTTAAGAGTTAAACCTCACATCTATTCTTCTAAGTTTTAAGTGCACATTAGAAAATGGAAACATGACCCAACCCAACAAAAAAAATTAAATTTAGGAAGGTCCCTAGTTTTCAAAAAATACTGAACTGTCTCCAGGAAGACAGTCTCTGGGTGTATCGAACTGACCAATTTGTAATCAGTTAATTAGAAGGAAAGGAAGAGGGATAGGTATGTTGGTTCATAGTATAAGGGCAGAAGATGAGAAATAAAAAGGCCCACTAGAGATCTGCTGTCATCTCATCTCTTAATTCTCTCTAGTAAACCCTTAGTAAAGTGAGATCAAAAATGTAAATTTACACATATTTTCTAATAAAATCAGGACAAGATCATCTGATAACAGTACAAGAGGTTTTATTGACTACGGTGCAGACTCAAGCATGAAGAAGAAACAATCATTTAAAAACACCAAAGACCCTCACATTGCAAAGGGTAAGAAATAAATTAAGACTCCTGTTGGGCTGTGCCTGGGAGGAAGGGGAGGCCTCATTCACTTCGGTCCTTGGGTTCTCGGTATTTCCACTGGATGTAGTCAAATATATCTTTCTCACTATCCACCGGCAGGGGTTCTCCAGCAACTCCTGCAGGTGACAGACAAAAGAAACTTACAAACCAGATTCAGGACTGACGTTTTATGGGACACACTTTCAGGGGAAAAAATGATAACCAAGTCACTGAGAGAAAAGATACTGACTGCCCCACACCCCACGAGCTTGTGTCACATGCCAGCCAGCACTACAAAAGGAACCTGAGTGTTCCCACTACCGCCTTGGAGGTGACCCTAATCATGCTTCTCCTCTGCTGGATCTCTGCTGTGGCCATCGTGTATTATGTAAAATACTCTCATTAGTTCCTTGCAACTCAGAATGTGGCTCCTAGACTAGCAGTACTGGTGTCCCCTGCAAGCTTACTAGAAATGCAGAATCATGGGCCACACTGTAACCCCCCCAGGACCTGCATTTATGGGGTTTGTGCATGGTCTGCACACACTGACAGGTGAGAAGTACTGTCCTAGTCTATACCAAGGATGAAAGCCAGATTTTATAATTTTAGGACAAAATAACAAAATCTTCATTTTCCTAGTAGAGAACAGTAAACCACACAGTATATTGGTGGGAGGAGGCAAAGCAAAGATTAAGCAATTCTTGCTCTTTAAACTTTAAAAGCATGGGCCGAAGCTACTAGATCTGGCCTGGTACCAAAAGCAATGATACCTGGGCTCACCAGAAGTCTTGAAGGCACATTTAAAGAAACCAAACACTTAGATCAATACTTTCTTTTTTTACTGACCATCATAGGTAGAAAGAATTTAATCCACTCTCATAGAGCTAATTATTGCCACTGCGGGTCTGGGTACACACACGGTTGGAGCCCCTGGCATTGCCCGAGGGCAGACAATACAAAGAAACTACAATGAACTGGCACAGATAGTTACTTAAAGGCTTTTTAGAGAAATCAAAGCTGCTAAAACAAAATACTGTGTCTTTGAGAATAACTCTCCCCCCAGAGGACTGGGATTGTCTAAGGGACGGACACACATGCTCACCGGTGACTCCTAAAGGACGGATCGAGTACTCATTGATGGTGAAGCCCTTTTCTAGGGCATGAGCTCTCATGTTCTTATTGAAAATATCGCTCCCAGTGAAATACAGAACGCCACAGTAATACTGATCCTTGGGAATCAACCTAAAAAAAAAAGCTGTACATAAGTTTTCTACTACACATTTTAAATTTAGCAAAAATAAGACTCTTAAAATCAATACGGTATATAGTACCTAAAATAAGTATGTGGCCAAATAACCTGACCTTGTTAGGTAGGCCATTCCAACTACCCTAAGCTTGCAGCATTGGCTTTAGTACGCTATGCTGTGCAAAAGGTGTGGGGAAATGAATCACTCATTACAGCTGACTTTCCCCAGGAGGGAAACTGCTCTGGCGCTGCGGAAGGCATCATGGGGAGATGGACAGCTAAAGACAACAGATTCTGCAGACAGTTATTGTTTGTATATTTTCAGACTACACAGTCTATAGCTGGAATATATGGCACTTCAGAATAAAAATGAACTCTAGACATTGATGTGAATTTCAAGATATATGGGGGGGGGGCAGGTTGGAGAAAAGGAAAAAAATAATAGGCCAGCCACAAAAATACCTGATATCAATTCTTCTGTGTGGATATTCCTTTCCATCATTTTTACTGGGAAGCTGGCAAACACCCTAAAATGGATATTTAAAAGAATGCTTAAAGATGTTTTTAAATGCAAGGCTTCATTTTAATTAAATATTGTTAAGTGTGAGGTTATATTCATTTTAAATGGAGGCAGTTTTCAAATTTGAAGCTTTTTGTTTTGTTTTGTTTTTTTTGTTTTCAAAAGGTCTTTCAAATATTTTCCTGTGTGGTTCTTCACTAGCCGGGCCCCCACTCCCCCACTGCTGATGTTGTCTACGATGTCGGGGCGGGGAAGCCACCAACACTGCAACCCACAGCCTGGGCAGTCCCCGGAGCTCTTTAAATGTTCCAGAGAGCTCTCCAGCTAAAGATCAGTGCAGCACCTGCCAGGCAATGCTAACAATCTCATCAAAAGTGGTATTTCCATCATGCTTAATGTGTTTCTTGCTTCTTTCTGCTTCTCGGTGGTTCTTTGAGGGCTCTGATAACCAGGGCAGAGGTAGAAGGCACTACCTCAGTTTGGGCCTGCCTATTCTGAATGGTCAGTTTCACTGTAACCCTCAAACCCTTCCACTCATCGGTGGCTTTGGTGATGTCATCACCAACCTCCTTTTGGAGACAGGCCCCAAAAGGCCGATCTTGAGGGCCAGGGCAGACGTGGCACCAACTTTCCCACAGTGCACCTCAGGGGTACAACTTTGATCTCCTTGGGGTCTAACTTCAGTGGCAAGGTGGAGGCGGCTGGCGTCAGATGAACCCAGACTTGGGCAACCAAAGAAAGTTGGTTGCACCATAGCCTCCTCCAAGCCAGAGGCCAAAAAAAGCCAGATTCAGAGCACTTTTAACTTAGTTTTTCTAGACACTATATATTATCGCTGCTTCCCTATTATACTTCATAACTAAAGAGCTACATGAAACAGCAGGCAGGGTGTGAGGATCGGCCTTTCTGAGATTATACAACAATGAGCTGATCAAGGAAAGTATCGATCACAAAAGATAGAGACCAAAACAAACCAAAACAGAAAAAGCAAATTGGAAGAAATGATTATGCAGGAAAAGGAAAACAAAAATCTACAAGTAATATTTCTAAATAAGAAGAGATATTCCATCCGTGAAATGAGGGCAGAATACTACAGAAAAAGAACATTTAAAGAAAAGATTTAAATCAACATAAAAAACATGATAGCAAAAGTAGAAGAGTTTGAAACCGTAGAAACCTCCCAGAAATTAGAAGACAGAAAGATGAAAAATAATAAAAATTTAAAAGATAAGAAAATGAGGGGAGGCCCTGGCCAGGTAGCACAGTTGGTCAGACAGTCATCCTGACACGCCAAGGTTGTGGGTTCAATCCCCAGTCGGGGCACATACAAGAGTCAACCAGTGAATGCATAAATAATAAGTTCAACAACAAATTGATGTTTCTCTTCCCCCTCTCTCTAAAATCAATAAATTTAAAAAAACCAGGGGATCATTTTCTTCTTTCTCTACAAGTGAGTTTTCGTTATACTTCTACAGTTTTCAAATAGGTATTTTCAAGGTCTGTTTTGTTATCTTTTCCTTTTCCAGAAAAATGGGCAAAAATTCTGAACTAGTCAACCACCCAAAAATATGTAAAAAAACTAAAAACATCAACAAATTTCAAAATAAAAATTTCAAATGCCATATTCTAAGAAAAATGTGCAAGTGACAGGCTTCTGGTTCTACAAAGTAGTTGAGTGGGTACAAATGTCACTAAAAGCCATCCATTTTCAGCCAGCAACATAGAAAAAATAAAATCTAAAAACCAAAATGGGTATTTTCTTCAGCTGTTGCTACAGCTGCAAGATTAATGCACCTGTTTATCTTCAAAATAAGAAACCCGCCTTCTTAGGCACTAACCAGCTCCAACTCAACCTTCAAATGGGTCAGAAACGACTGCCATCTGGCATCCCTGTGAGGCATCACCTTGGGGACGGAGATGGATGTTTAGATGCCACAGGCATCTATGGCATCATTGCCACAGGCAATGACCTTACTGTTTGTCACAGCAGTAACAGGATTTCATCCAAAGACCCTGTTCCCTTCCTCAAGGCTAATTTTATTTCCTGCACTTTTTCTGAAGTACTAATGTTAAAGAATTTCTCCTGTTCATTGCAAATTCTTTACTATAGACTGGATTGGTTTAGTTTGTCATTTCAATTATGTAGCTTCATGTGAGTGTCCAAAATATAGCCCCTCCCACTTCCTCAGGGGACCCAGGGTACCTTCTGCTTGTCCCCTGAATCCTTACTGTAGTAGATATTTCATAGGAAAGCATCCAGAGCCAAACTTGCACAAAATACTAAAATCTGAATGGTACTCATCATATATAAAGCAAACAGGCATCTAAATGCAGAGAGAATTCTTTTTTTTCCTTTCAAATGTTATATTTAAGGAAGAATAGCTTAATTATCTAAAGACCATAATTTTACAAGAAGATCCAGAATAATCCTGGCTTCCCTAAGGTTTAATTACTATTAAAGGAATTAATGTCTTGAAAATAACTTGAAAAACACACAAATGGCCATATGTTTAATATTATTTAGTCAGTGGTTACAGCAACACGAGGTTTTGAAATCAAGTGGACTTAGAATGAGAAGGGTTTATTGAGCATTATAAATTGAATTCATTTTGCAGCCAACTTTCTTTCAGAAATCTAAAGATCTTAACTTCTTTGGATATCTCTGCTAAAGTTCATGCACTCAGGGCCACCGCTCTCTCTCTTCCCCCAGGTATCTGCTCGGCTAAATCCCTTACCTCGGTCTTCTCCCCAGTTTCGTCCTCTCCGCCCCTGACCATCCTATGGAATATTGTCTCCTGCATGTCCATCTCCCCATCTTTTTTTTAAACTAGTACTCGCCTATTATCCTAGCCTAACACATTGTACAATTTACCTATTTTTATATTCATTGTTATCTTTCAGTCCTTTCCCTTACTCCCAAAATGTAAGTTCTAGTTCAAGTTGCTGATATATGCCAAGCTCCTAAAACAGTGCCTGGAATGTAGATGTTTAATAAAGATTTGCTGAATTGACCTTCTCATCCTATTGATGCTCATTCACACCATTTTGTTCTTTCATATGGTTAACAATGAAGTCTGAACTGGCCTCCTCTGCGGCAGTCACCAGGATTTGGCTGCCCATGCACTCCCAGGCAAAGGTCTTCTCTTGTCTGATGGAGCAATTAACTACAATAACCCACTTCCACCACTTTCGGCCAGTCTTTAAGTTCACATATACTTGGCTACCCACCTTTCCTTTTCAGGCGACACCTAGCTCACCATCTTGTATTCTTGCTAGCTGCATTACTACAGCCTCTGTTGGTTTTTCCTCTAGATCGCTATTTGAGCACCAGCAGAACTGTAAAAAAAATGCTTCTGCTGTAGTATTGCATAAGCACCTCCCACCTGGCTAACTGAAAGCAGGTGGTGCACTACCCCCATAGGAGCCCCAGTGCCTTTCAGAGATGACTAGTGGGGAGGAGAGGTGGGCCAGAGAGGCCCCCGGAACACGCCCAGGCACACAAGGACACTCCTACTATGGGGAAAAAATCCAACTCGTCTTGCTCATATCATTTTTAGGGTTTTATCTTACTGAGTGTACTTTAAATGTAAGATTTATGCACATTCATTTTGAGTGAATTAAAATCATTCTAAATTTTAAAAGGATGTCCATGGAGCATATATAAACCTTATTTTAAATAGGATCTTATGTGTGTATATACTTTTGGACACAGATTCAGGAAAAGAGATAATATATTTAATTCCCAAAGACTGACTAGAATTTTTATTTTTACCATTCCTGAAGTTCTTTTGAAAACACTGATAAAGTGTGACCAACATAGGTAAATACACTTTCATAGCCCATTAAAATCACCAGGCTGGACTTAATAACATATTTTTATATGATTAAATATATATAACATAAAATTACCTTTTTAATCATTTTTAAGCATGCAATTCTATGGCATCAAGTACATTCATACTCCTATGCAACTATCACCACTGTCCACAACTTCCAGAGCTTTCTCATCTTCCCCGAACAAAATTCTGTACCCGCTGCACAGTGACCTCCCCGGCCCTGGCAGCCACCATTCCACTTTCTGAGTGACAGACACACCTTGATCATCTGTCCCAACCATCATCGACTGTTGGTGAACTATTATCAAACTCATGCACGAGACCTGCTAGTTCTAGCAGGTCTATGCTCCACAAGCACAGTCTCTGTCCTTCCAGTCACACAACTAGGGAAAAGCGGGGCACAGAGCAAAGGGATGCAAATGATGTATGTTCAAGTAATCAGTAGAATAAAAGTAAGCCTTTATTACCTTAGTCCTAGATTTCTATTTGCCTTCCTGCCGGTTTTTACACAGGGCCATTTATTAATCTGTTTTAATCCATTTGCCATTTGTCTTGAATCTTTACATTTTAATTCCCTAGGAAGACGACAGGATTTTGACAGTTCATCATGACGGGTTCCACTTTGCAAAATCTCACAGGTGTGCTTCCCTCCACAAAGTCCCCTACCTGCCATTCCACGTCACATGCCTCTTCCCCTGTGTGTTCTATCACACACCTGACTCCTTTCCTTTCTTTGGTATTGTAATAGAGTAATAATCTTGAATTTTATTGGAGAATTCTGAGTCAAAGAATATGAAAACATTTGCTATTTTGGGAAAAACACATATCAAAGTCCTTATGGGTATTTTGAAACAGATCATGCCTAATGATCTATCCCAATGGCACAGATATTACAAGTGGGGAATCTAAAACAAAATTCTTTACTAAAATATCCTGAGATTAGCATTCTGCTAGTTCTTCTTCTCTAAGATCTCAAGGATATTTACTGAATGTAATATTAAGCTATAATGAGGTCACACACAACCATTACTGAACAGTCTTTAAGGTGATTTTTTTTCCCCAACGTGTTAACTCAAAAGAGTACTTACCATGAATTTTGTTTCACCTTTAGACAGAGTATCTGTAATAAAACAGACCTTTTGTAACTGCTCCACAACACGATGTAACAACTTTGGCTGTAGAATCACAATTAGGAAATAAGAAAAAGAGCAATTACTCAATTACTCTGCTACAGCAAGAAAACATTTTTAACACAAGTTTTCTGATTATCTGTGGAGAAATGACTATTTTCCCATGTTCTAAGTAAATACTTTTTCTTCTAACAGATAATTCATCTTATTAAATAAAACTTATTTTTATTTTTTTTTTACTTTTTTTAGTGTAGCAGTTTATTTTATTATTTTGTTTTTTTACTTTATTGATTATGCCATTACATTTGTTCTATTCCCCCTTCATTCCCCTCCACCCTGCACACCCCTCCCCCCACCATTCCCCACCCCTTTAGTTCATGAACACGTGTCTCAAGTTCTTTAGATTCTATATTTCCCCTACTATTCTTACCCTCCCCCTATCTATTTTCTATCTGCTGTCTATGCTACTTATTTTCTGTACCTTCTCCCCCTTCTCCTTCTCCCACTCCCCTGTGGCTAACCCTCCATGTGATCTTCATTTCTATGGTTCACTCCTGATCTAGCTGTCCTCTTAATTTGCTTTTGTTTTAGGTGTGGTTGTTACTAACTGTGAGTTTGCTGTCCTTTCACTATTCATCTTTTTTTATCTTCTTTTTCTTAGGTAAGTCCCTTTAACATTTCACATAATAAGGGCTTGGTGATGATGAACTGCTTTAACTTGACCTTATCTGAGAAGCACTTTATCTGCCCTTCCATTTTAAATGAAAGCTTTGCTGATAGAGCAATCTTGGTTGTAGGTCTTTGGTTTTCATGACTTGGAATACCTCTTTCCAGCCCCTTCTTGCCTGTAAGGTCTCTTTTGAGAAATCCGCTGACAGTCTGATGGGAACTCCTTTGTAGGTGACTGTCCCCTTAGCTCTTGCTGCTTCTAGGATTCTCTCCTTCATTTTAATTTTGGCTAATGTAATTATGATGTGCCTTGGTGTGTTCCTTCTTGGGTCCAACTTCTTTGGGACTCTCTGAGCTTCCTGGATCTCCTGGAAGTCTATTTCCTTTGCCAGATTGGGGAAGTTCTCCTTTATTATTTGTTCAAATAAGTTTTCCACTTGTGGCTGTTCCTCTTCCCCTTCTGGAACCCCTATAATTCTGATGTTGGAACATTTAAAGATGTCCTGGAGGTTCCTAAGACTCTCCTCATTTTTTTGAATTCTTGTTTCTACATTCTTTTCTGTTTGGTCATTTTTTCCCTCCTTCTGGTCCACTCCTTGGATTTGAGTCCCAGTTTCCTTTTCATCACTATTGGTTTCCTGTGTATTTCCCTTCATTTCAATTAGTTTAGCTTCCATATGTACCTCTAGTTTGTGACTAAAATCAACCAGTTCTGTGAGCATCCTGATCACCAGTGTTTTGAACCATGCATCTGAAAGTTTGGCTATTTCTTCATTGCTTAGATTTATTGGCTCTGGGGCTCTGAGTTGTTGTTGAGCCATGTTTTGATCTGTTCGTGCCTGTTAGGTATGAGGAGCAGATCCTTAGTTGTTCACCAGGGCGGGGCCACCCAGGTCGCTGGTTTGTGATGCTGTATGTGGGGGTGGGGTCAGAGAGGGAGCAATGGTGGTCCTCTCCAATCGCCCGGCCTGCCTCACTGCTTGCCCCTGCCTGTTTATCTGAGTGCAAATGTGTGAGCCCACTGCCCTGCACCGGGGCCAGCGCCTTCTGTCTCAGTGCACTCACTGGTTTATCTGCGCGCAAATGCGCGACCTCAGACAGCCAGCCCTACCGCGCCTTCCCATAGCTACCCTGCACCTGGGATCCGTGCCATTGCACGCTGCACGGGTTGGGGGATCGTTTTTGCCCGACCTGCTCCTCTGCTGGCTTCGCCCCTCTCACTGGTTTAGCTGAAGGGTTCGTATTGTTCGATTTTCTGCGGTTTGGTTGCGTTCATTGTTGTTAAAAGTTTGTTGTTTTTAGATTTGGTTGTGCGAGGAAGCAAAGTGTTTCCACCTATGCCTCCATCTTGGCAGAAGTACAAACTTATTTTTAGATACCATCATCGTTCACCAATATCATGATACTCCTAAACAAACATTATTTGTGTTTATCTATTTCATTACTTCAAAAAATTAGCTGCTTCATCTTTAAAAAGCATATACTCCAAAATAAAAAATATTTTGCCTTCTTGGGTTTTCTAATAAAGGTGAAGTTTTTTTAATTCACTATTTTTTAATAGAAAGATGTTCCTTTAATGAAAGCCTAAATATCATATGGGCTATTTCTAAAATGTCTATGATAGACAATAAATCATTCTGGAAATATTTTACTAAATTTCACCTTTTTCAAATGTTGGATTGTTTTCCCAGTTCCTCGTAGAAAAACATGTATCCCTTTTAACAACTTACTTTGCCTTTCACATAATTCAATCAGTACGTAACACTTCAACTGACTTTTCAGAAAGATTAAAACAAAAACTTATTCTGAAAATATCCAACTGTCATTTAGAAAATGATATTTGCTGCTATGTAAGATTGATCACATTGATTATAAATTCCAAGGTACCTGTTTATTTGATTCAGAGGTAAAACTTGGGTGGGTCAAAAGAACATCCATGTCACCACTGGACTCGGCACCTAGGACAACAAAGAAACATATGGAATTCTTCATGCAAATATCTATCAGACAAACAGAACCGAGGTGAAGACACGCAGAGAAGGACCTTACTTCCCATAGCTTAATTTTCTATTTCACTGTGCTTCACATTCAGAATTAGTTAAAGGATTTCAATTTTCTGTCCAACTATTCAGGTATATTGATGAAAACAGCAGAATCTAGTATAACAATAGTAACTGACATTAGATATTGCACATAAACAGTTAATTTAACATACTAAAAATGAACTTAAGTATTCAATAGAGTAAAAATTACATTTAAAAATAGCTTCAAAATATATCTACAAATACTACATATTTAATCATTTCAAATTAAACAATGAGCTTCAACTCTATAAAGGTTAATCAGAAAACTCATTTCAATTCTTATGACCAAATTTATTTAATGAATATTGATAAAATTTACAACTGTAGCGTCATGGATAGGAACATAGCACATGATAATGACTTAGGCTTACATTTGGGTCCCTACTTTAAAACAAGTAACTTCACGCAGGTTACATACAGTTGTTTAAACCTTTCTTTTACTATAGAATTTCCTTGATTTAGATTTTTTTTCAGTATTGCAAATGAAGACTGCATATTCCTTTGGACCTCACTTTCCTTATTTACAAACTACTAAAAACTACCTTACAGGCTGTTGTGCAACCAAAGAAGAACATATGTAACAGCATCTAGGATAGTACCTGCCGTACAGTTGGCATAAAATCACCCTGTTTATTACCTCTTCTTTTCATTTTTGTAATATAATATTTGTAAAAAATACTCCTGGTCCCTGAGGATCCAGCAGTGCCTCTGGACCACGGTCCTACCCATCAGCAATCTTAACCAGAGACGGATAAACATAAAGAAGACTGGATGGAATATGTGCTGATCCCAGAACATTCATGAAAGCTATTTCAACAATAAAAAATTTATTGACTTTTCTTCTCACTTCTTTCTCCTCAAAGATAAATGTCTTCCACCATCTACCTACCACCAAAATGTAAGACTTTATCCATTAAAAAAACAAAAACAAACTACTTAAGCAAATAAATAGGAAGCAACCCCAGGGCCCATTAACAGAGGACTAGATAAAGATAAAATATGGAATATCCACCCCATCATATGTTATGCAGATACAAAAAGGAATAAGAAGCTCTCTATGTACCAATGTGGAAAATCTCCAGGATGTATTTTTAAGTAAAAAAAGGTACACTACTGCGTATACATTACATTACTGTAGTGAAAGAGAGAGAAGGAAACCCAGAACATACATGCACATTTACTACCTTTACAAGTAGCAACACTGAAAGAGTAAACAAGACAGTGGCTGCTCATGGGTCAGTGGTGGGAGGGAATGAAGACAGTAAACAGGGATACAGGAGAAGAGAGACTTCTTAGTGTGTATCTTTTTTATACTAAAGCACAAAACCATATAACCTACTGAATAATAAATAAAAGCAGAAAGAAAATAAAAATGTATAAACCCAGAATGGCTGTCATAGTCAAATGAGCATGCGTGTGACTTGCTGTGCATCAAAGTCTACGTGTTGAAAATACTGATTCCAAGGCCTCACCCAAGGAAACTATTATTTAATAGGTTTATAGCTGGAAACAGCAATGTGTATATTTTTAAAAACTAGATGTTTCTGATGCATGGACAGACTTGAACACTTTGTTAACTTTATTTTTTTAATATTTGGTTTTTTTTCAGAGAGAGGGTACGGGAGGGAGAAAGAGGGGGAAAAACATCAATCGACTGCCCCTTGCACACCCCCAACCAGGGGACCTGGCCTACAACCCAGGCATGTGCTCTGACTGGGTATCCAACTGGCAATCTTTTGCTTTTGCAGGCCAGTGCTCAACCCACTGAGCCATACCAGCCAGAGCACAACTTGTTAACTCTAATCCTCTCATTCTGCAAATATGGAAAACAGGATGTGGAAAGACAGGTTTACTTAAAATCATACAGTGATAAATTTAGACTGAGAACCCAGGTATTTTGGCCCTAATCAAATGCTCTTTTTATTTATCAGCAATTACAGACTTAGTCCTTTTCTCTCCCCAAATATACATTCTTACAGCAGCTACCTAGAGAATTTCTTATAGACCATCACCTACTTCCAAGCAAAACTCCAGAGATGGCCAGAGATTCAACCAGATATCTATTCTAAAAGTTTTACATAAAGGTTTTCTATTCTAATTGCTAAAGTTTTTATTTTTAAACTTAGGTTACCCTTCCAAATTTTTGAAGCAGTACAAGACCCAAGATGATGTGGTTCTTGCTTCGCTGGTATTCACATAGTAAATGGAGATCTACACAAGCTGGTTGTTGTGACAATTGGTTTTGAACTGGTAATTCTGAGATATTATTTTTAGACTAATTACAGAAAACTTAAAAAATACAAAAAGTAAAACAAAACTACCCACAGATTCACTAGCATCTAGCCAGACAACAACTATTAGGATTTTAACATACTCATAAGTATTTTATAATTTTATTTAAAATTAGTCACTTAAATATCATTCTGTAATAAATTCGCTTTAAATTTTCTCTAATTTTTCATATATATATTTCCATCTATAAATAAATAAACTTAGCCAATACAACTGGATCTTAGTAAATCTGTTAAGTAACACAAATTACATCTCTTTAATTCATGTTTTTATGTATATTAGACAATTTTAACATCAAGACATGAATAACCTAAGATTAAGCATATTACCTCTCCTGAAACTGCCACATACTGTAGCAATGTATTCAGAATCCACTTTTTTAACTTCATTTAGTACAACGTCCTAGAAGAAAAATCAAGTCATTATTCTAAAAATGGATTTTCACCAAATGGCATCGTCAATTCTTTTTTTCAAAATAGTCAGGTATTGCATGTTTTTTTCCAAAATTTTATTCATTTATTTTTAGACAAAGGGGAAGGGAAGGACAAAGAGAGGGAGTAAAACATCAATGTGTGGTTGCCTTTCACGAGCCCCCAAGTGGGGACCCAGCCCACAATCCAGGCATGTGCCCTGACTGGGAATCAAACTAGTGACCCTTTGGTTCACACATCAGCACTCAAGTCCACTGAGCCACACTAGCCAGGGCGACACTGTCAATTCTAATCAAAGAATACAATTCAGCACACTCTTACTTGCATTTGTAACATCTCTTCACGAGGAATTCTTTTCTCAAAGTCCTCAAAATATCTATAAAGACAAAACAGATAGACAATATTTTATGACATTTAAAATCTTCTTAAAAACTACATTTCCTATCCTATCAAAAGTCCTTATACAATCAGATCATTCAAAAATCAAGGTTAAAATTCATTAAGACAATAGTAAAATTGGGAATGGGGAAGGTTTATTCCTTAACTTGGATCAAAATCCCTAAGTGTCATCCTTTCTGATATTCCAGATATTCTATCTAAACTTACTTACAAGTAAACTTCACATTCACATATCAAGAGTAAACAAATACATATTAGTGCATTTGCAAATTAGACTCCTCCCTATTGACAAATCAAGAGAATATAGTTTATTGCCCTTAAATCATGTAAAATTATTGTATTTCAAAATATTCTGGTAGGATCCTGCAACATGAATGAACCCAGACACTATTCTAATTCAAAGAAGCCAATCACAAAAGACCACATATTGCATAATTTTATTTATATGAAATGTCCAGAATAGGCAAATCTACAGAGCCAGAAAATAGAATAGATTAATGGTTGCCAGGACTTTGGGGTGGGGGGGAGGGATGGGGAGAAAAGGAGAGTGACTGCTCATGGGTGTGGGCGCTTTCTGAGATAACAGAAGCACCCTAAAACTGACTGTAGTGATGGCTGTACAACTCTGGGAATATGCTACAATCAGTGAACTGTGTACTTTAAATGGTAAATTGTATGGTATCTGAATTATACTTTAGTAAGATTGTTATAAAAACATTATCTAAGTGAAACATTATCCATGAAATGACCTGGTCAAAACTAATTCTCAAAACTAAGTTCTTCATATCTGTTTACTATGTAAATGCAAGGAAAGTGAGGACTATATTATCCTGGGTCACTTACTTGCTCAGAGTTTTGGAAGGCAGTGTAAGTTTAAAATATTATGGAAAGGTATCACCAGGAAAGTTTGGGTTATTAGGGCTGAATCGCCAACAAGACTACACGGAGACTAGAGGAAAGATGTATGCCCACACCTGTACACAGCTTACTCACTGTGCAATTTAAATTGTTAGAAAGGGAGTTCCTGATTATATCTGGCACACAAAATAACAGCCAATCCTGAAATACAACATGCCTATTAGTTATTCCTTTACTGTTACTTAAATCTTTGGTATTTTTCTTCTTCTTTTTTAATTTAGTGTTTAAGGTTCCTGTCGTATCTTCGGGGGTAGACTCTAAACTTCTCAAAAACTACCCTGAGCCTATGTGCTTCAGCCAGACCTCATGCAGTGCTTCGTGTAAGAAAGCACGAGGTAAACACACACTGACTGCCTGATGCGCTCGGTTCTACGTGTTTTCAGAAGACGCTCCCTGCTCAAGTCCAGAGGATGAGGGAAACACTTAAAACAAGCAGACAAACTAGAAAGCTAAAACAAAACACGTTAATATAGGCATATTCTCTATTGGAGTGTGCAACAAATCTTAGCATTTCTAAATAGAAAAATGGTTTTTTAGCCAAGTTTGAAGAATTGTTATGATGTATGGAAGAATGCCATAAAAATTTTTCCTTTACATCTCCAGTGTCAAAATAAAATTTGCCACCTTACTTTAGTCCAATTCGCTGATGATGGTTCAATTTATCTTCATTTTTTCTGAGATCTGTTTTTAAAAAATGGTAAATTCAGTGATCTTTTTATAAAGAACTATAGCGCTAAAAATCCTGTTGAAAGGAAAGGTGTTATATTTATTTCTTAAAAAAGTCATATCATAACAACATATCTTAAATCTAAAAGTGACTCAGCCCCACTCGGACGTTCCGTTAACTGGACACGAGGGCAGGAGGAAGCCTGGTCAGGGAGGCAGCGAGGCAAGCAACGCCTCTGAAGCAGCTCCCTCGGTCAGCCTCATGCCACATGAGCTCTCTCTGCAAATGCATCTTTATGATACAGAGAGCACTTAATGTTTCTCATACATGCATTTACACAAAAAATACTAAAGCACATGACTGAAATGAAACAAGTATTGAGTTTGTTTTAAACAATACATATCAACAGTTACATTACATATCTGTGAACTGTGAATATACAAACCATTACAGTAGATCCTTCACACTCCCAAGGGATGCAACTGAATATCTTTGAGAAACAAATGGCTTTATTTGTTTATTTGCTTCTTGACTACTTTATTCAATACTTGACTCATATAAACCATATATGCCACAAGCAGAAAAGCACAAACCCTGAGATGCAGTGGTAGAGTTCACTGTCTATCCAAGTGATGCACATAAATTCTTAGAAATATTACTAATTAATCATGCCTCTTAAGAGTTGGTTACTATTTTTAAGCATTTTAGTAGGTACCGAGCATTTTGCTAAGTGATTTACATACTGAAGACCTTATTTCATCAAATCACGAGATAAAAAAATACCATTTTGTCGCTCAGAAACTGAGGCACCAGGATCGTGCATTCTAAGTAGTGGAGACTAGATTCACATCTGGTCAGTCTCTAAAACCTGTCTGTCTAGCCACTGGGTGTTGCTTATAAGCAGTTGAATGAATGTACAAGTATTAAATCCCAAATGCCACAGTAAGGTACTACAATGGATTTATTTATATAGTATATGTGCTCAAAATGTATGAAGAAATAAGTTATGTTTAAAGGATTTCTCTATTAAGCTTAAGAAAAATGTTCCCTAATTACTTAAGTTCTACTTTAATCACTTCTTTGAGCAAAAATTCAACAAGCATTACGAGCCTCCTACTGAATTTTTCTCAATATACATAACTCTGCTTTAAGCTGAACATGTAGGACTTTATTGTCTAAAATTTTATTGAAGAAACAAAAGCAATTTAACTCATCTAAAAATCTGCAAATGAAATAATTGCCTTAAAACCAAAAAGCTGCCCTGGCTGGTGTAGCTCAGTGGATTGAGCGCGGGCCTGCGAACCAGAATATCGAGGTTCGATTCCCAGTCAGGGCACATGCCTGGGTTGCAGGCCAGTTCCTTCCGAGCAGGGAACGCATGAGAGGCAACCATACATTGATATTTCTCTCCCACTCTTTCTCCTTCCCTTCCCCTCTCTCGAAAAATAAATAAATAAAATATTTAAAAAAACAAACAAAAAGCTGTTCTAGCCGGGTAGCTCAGCTGGTTGGAGCATAGTCCCAATGTGTCAAGGTTATGGGTTCGATCCCGAGTCAGGGCACATACAAGAAGCAATGAATGAATGCATAAATAAGTGGAACAATAAATTGATGTTTCTCTCTCTCTCTAAAAATCAGTGAGAAAAAAAAGCCACTTCTTGCTCTTCTTTTCTTCTGAGTTACAAACCTAAACATGCTCAAGATGGGACTATAAGCTAGTCCTCTTAAAAAAAATTAGTGATGAATGTTGGAATTTTTAAAAAAGATTTTATTTATTTATTTTTAGAGAGAGGGGAGAGGAGGCAGAAAGAGGGCAAGAGAAACATCGATGTGTGAGAGAAACATTTACTTAATTGCCTCTCACACGTGTCCCAAACGAGGACCAGGCCCACAACTATGGCAGGTGCCCTGACTGGAAATCAAACCATGACCTTTCACTATGCGGAGGACACCCAACCAACTGAGCCACACCGGTCAGAGCTAAGCCACTCTTTATATTTACTCTCTTCTGTAGAGTTAAAATGAAAACATCATATGTATCTACTAACTGGGAAATGGTTTTTCAAGTTCTAGCTCCTCAGAGCATCTATTAGTTCATCAGGACAATGTTTACTCTGGAATTACAAACTCACCTTCTAATGTTTTAATTCCTTCATCGACAAACTTCCTTGCAGCAGATGGACTACAAAGAAAAAAGTATCTCAAAATTCAGGAAAACTCAGGATCTTGGAACAAATAACCAATTATGCCTTCTCTTGTCAAACATAAAGAGTTATTATTGAGCTAAATAGGACCTGCTAAAATGTTGCATGGTGAGTTTGGTAGAGATCAATTTCATCTAAAGAGAAGAATTCTTAAAGCCTCAATTCAGGAATACAACCACAAAGGTAGACATGAAAAAGATGTGTAAACAGCTAGGTGTCATTGATGCCCATGTGCTTTATTCATAAAAGACATATAGGCACTTGAAAACTGTTCATTCATTCATGAGATTTACTGGAAGGCTATATAGGCCAGATATACTTCTAGGTGCTAAAAATATAACAGGAATAAACAAATAAGGGCCCTAGTCTTATCTACTCACATTCCAGTGGGTACAGACAATAAATACATATATAAACAAATATTAAAATATCCAATAGTTGAATTAAAATAGAATATAGTATGACAGAGTGGCTAGGTACTACTTTAGATCGGGTGGTAAAGAAAGGCCTCTGAGATGATATTTAAACTGAGACAGGAATGACAAAGGGCCTTTTTACAGAAACCGTGTGGCACAGAAACTGACATTCATGCAAGGAAGGCAATGTGACAGAAACAACAGAACTGAAAAGGAAGTCGGGAGACAGAGGTTCTAATTTTGATTCTGCCACAGTTATCTCACTTTCGGTAATCAGTCTTCTTGCCTGGGAAAAGAGGTTAATAAAAGAGATGCCCTTAAAACAACTTTTAACTAACATTTTTATAAAGGCCTTGGGTCAAACTCATTTTCAGCAGAGTAGGTTTAAAACTTTAATCTATTTTAGAGTAATTTTCATAAAAATGTTGCCATTTAAAGGACTGCTATATATTTAAAGAATGTCTCATTCCATGAAGATGACAGTTCAGTAAAACATAGCCGTAATGTTTCAATGTGCATCTTTACTATGTCTAGTGTCAAAGAAGCCTCTATTCATGCTAGTTTGAATTTTAAGATAAAGATTCCTTCACTAAAAAATGTTTGCGGGCTAGTTTCAAAATCACAAGATACTCTGCTAGATGCCATGGAAAAAAGGCTTAAATGCTTAAGGTAAACATCATGCTCAGAGAGGCAAGTGAGCTTTAATCTGGAGGAAGTAGTAGTACACAGAGCAAGTGGAGTTTGGAGGACGAAGAGATTCTTTCTGGCTGGGGAATTAAATTGGTTTCATAAAGGGTCTCCTTTTGCCTTGGACAGATGGGGCTTCCACAGTAAAGGCACCATCCAAAGAGCCAGCCTCACACACGTGAGCTATATGAGCAAAGGCATGAGGGGGAAAGGCACAGGTTTTGAAGGGAAACAGCACACACTTTACTTTGGCTGCCATAAAAATATTAAACCAACCCTACTTGTGTCTGCTTAAAAAACAGTTCATACCCAATGCCAGTAACTCGAGTCAGGAAATTGATAGATGAACTCGTATCATCCTGCCGAATCTTTAAGGGGAAAAAAAAGCATAACAATAATTTAGGAATGCTTTGAGGACTCAAGTGATCTTACTGGAAATATGCCAGTCTGCTGAGAGACCTGAAGCACCACTTACATGAGTCTGTAGGGTTCCTACAGAGGTATTCATATACAACGCACACAGCTTTAAGTAATAACAGAGCAGCTGAAGATGTCTCATCTCTAATTTATCCAATACTCTTAAAAGGCTTATATATAAAAAATCAGAACTGATATAATTATTACCATCAGGATGAAATAAAATCCTAAAAATGCTTGGGAGAATTTAAGCATAGAAATTCTAAAAGACAACACATTTTAATCAGAGCTTAATCTCCCTCCTTAATGGTATTGAAAATAAGGAGATAATTCTATCATATATGCTAATCTCTTAAATGCCACATAAATGAAGTGAACATTTTATAGAATGTTCAAATTTTTAAGAAACAGAACACAAAGCCCTCCTCCCTTTTCCTGCAGAGCCTCACCAGCGAAGAACTCTGCAGCGGTGCTCCGCAGAGTGGGGCTGCCACAAAGACGGACATCAAAATCAAACACACAAATCAGTAAGTTGAAATTTTACCTTTTCCAGTTTACGCAATTTTCCAGTTGCTAAAAATTCATCAATCTTTTCAGCAATTTTTGTTCCTACTCCAGGCTACATAAAAAATTAAAAATACAGACGTCATACTAATAGAATGTTTACCAAATCACTAAAAAATAAAGTACAAAATGAGAAATGCAAAACAAACGATTGTCACATGACCAGTTTTGAAACAAAGGATAAAGATAATTGAGCCCTAGTAAAAATGTAAAATACTTAAATGACTGACAAGAGAAACCCTACCAAAAACAATTCTAAATGCCTCACTTTTTAAAAACTAACTTTTACTGTAGAAAAATTAGAAAATAGAGTTGCATAAAAAAGTATTTAACTTGTTAATTTCTTCGCTGAAAATTTAAACTGTAATAACCTTGTAACTTAGTATCTGCTATATACTGACTGTTTTTGTTTATACACATAGGTAGATTTACTATATATGTATATATACAGTTTTCTTTCAAAAACAGAATCATACTGCTTTGTGAAATAAAAATACATCGTGAGCAGATTTCCTTACAAATAAATACAACTACGATAATCTTTAATGGCTCCATAAACATATCACTGTTTAAATGTACTGTAATTTACTAAACAAATACCCTACAGGTGAACATTTAGATGGTTTCCAGTTTTTAATATTATAGCAATGCTGTCATAAACTTCCTCTACAACAGAGGTTCTCAAGCTTTTGCATACATCAGCATCATCTGTGTATGTTAAAACACACACTGCCAAGTCCCACCTTAGAACTTCTAATTCAAGAGGGTGCATTTCCAGCAGTTCCCAGGTTATATAGTTGATGCCGCCCTGGGAGCCACACTTTAAGGACCACTGCTCTAGGTTTTAATAGTCCGACATGGCAGGCAGCAGCCACAAGGGACAATTTTAACCTTTCATTAACTGAAATTAAAAATTCGACCCCTTGGTCACACTCACCACATTTCACGAGCTCACCAGCCAAATGTGGCTCATGACTGCCATTTTGGACACCAATGCTCTAGAATATAAGTCCTAAGAGAGCAGAGAGCCTGTCTTTTCAGGAGCTCAGCTTTATCCCTAGCACCTGAATGAACACCTGATACACAGGTACTCACAACTTATGAACTAGCAAATAAATCCTTGTATACATGTATCTCTGCTGGTTTCCTTAGTATAAATTCCTCAAAGTGGAACTGCTGGGACATTCTGCCCACATTCTGCCACACCACACAACAACCAACATTTTGATCAGTAGTAAATGAGTGTTTTTTCCCCACATCTTTATTCATACTGCATATTACACTTGATAATTTCACAGGCATTATACAGTACCTTGTTTTAACTTGCAACTCTGATTACTCATGAAGTTGAACTTTATTCATGCTTAAATGTTTAACATATATGTGACAGCTATTTCCTTCCCACCATCTCTCAGCCCTAAGTTCACCCTGCTACATCTTTTTTGGTTTGTCTGTTTTGTTTTTCTTTCTGTACTTTTCTTCTTTCTTTTTTTGCCCTTTTTATTCTTGATTTATTTAATAGTTAATAAGTGTCCTAAGACTACTGAATGCATATTCAAGTTTTGAAAATAGCAAATACCAGATAGAAATGAAAAATACTTAGTAAGAATAGATTTGAAAAGGGACAGTGCTCAGGTTTCTCATCTTATATATCAGAAGATACACACGGATCTAAAGCAATTTAAGTCCCAGCTATTTTCTACACCTAATGTTAAGGAATTAAAGGCAAAATACTCATTCTGGGAAGTTCAGACTCCTGGAATTACTCAAATTGAGTGCTGAGAAGCACTCAAATGCACCAGAAAGTAGGTCTGTTTAAAAATAATGGTGAAATGGAATAAAGATGAGATTTTCATATTAAGTCCAATCTTATGCAAAAACAAATTGGGGGTACTTCTGTGTTCTTTTTAAGGATATGCCACAAATTCAGATTTGGGATGAAGTGCATCAGAGCTTGACGGAAGTCTGCCTCTAATAAATGATCAGGCTATTTCCAATTAACATAAAAAAGGAAATTCAGTGATGATTAAAGGGGAACAGAATGAGAGAAGTGGCTCCTGAGGTTAACAGTGGGCCAGTTCGCCAATACAGAAACTTAGAATTAAAATCTAATGCATTTCTAACTTGCTTGGCTAGTCTATCTGAGGAGGATATAATGATGTTGAGAACTATTATGGCACAAAGGATTTAAAACCCTGACACCAGAGCGTGATTTGTAATAAATTCAGGATGAAGATGACAAGACTAATGTCGATAATCTGTCATTTAGTCATAAGAAATACAAGATTTATGGTAATGTTAGGACTCTGAAGGATGAAAATATAAGGACAGTTATAGTTTACTCTGAAGGCTCTCATGGGAAAATTAAGGACAATCAAATACTAAAAGACTTTTATGAATCAAATGGATAAAGAACAACAGAAGAAGGTGAAAACTATCAGGACCTGGACTAATCAAAAGCCATGTCAGTTTGACATCTTTAAGAAAAAAATGAATTAAATATAGTCTTTAATTCTGAAGAACTCAGAATCTTTTAGTGAGATTAGATGAGGCAGAATGTGATTATCAATAGGTAAACTTTCCCACAATATTCTTAACTATATTATTACAAACGACCAAGAGATGTGACCTTCTAGAAACTGCGACACTACTAGCATATGGGGCTTTACGGAAATTACAGAGGATAGAGCTAAATGCCATAATATACAAAGGGGGTTAATCATGCGCTTATTAATACGTAAAATCTCTTTGGGAACATTAAGTCACCTAAGTCCCTACACCCTGGATCAAAAAAAGGTAGCTGGGGACCAGATGTGCTGGTTCTACTGTCAGCACACTCCTCTTCAGGACCACACTCAAACTGAAAATAAGTACGTGCATATATGGAGAAAGTAAAGAAAGAAAATTATAATTACCTACGTTTAAAAGTCTTTAAACCTACCCCGCCCACAATGAAAACACTCTGAGCTTGAAAAAGTCTGCTTGACACTCAGTTATTAACAACCACACCTAAAACAAAAGCAAACTAAGCAGACAGCTAGATCAGGAGCAGAACCATGGAAATGGAGATCACGTGGAGAGTTAGCAATGGGGGGGGTGGGGAGAAGGTACAGAGACTAAGTAGCATAGATGGTAGGTAGAAAATAGGCAGGGGGGAGGGCAAGAACAGTATGGGAAATATAGAATCTAAAGAACTTGTGACACATGGACATGAACTAAAGGGGGGGAATGGGGGGAGTGGGTATGCAGGGTGAAGGGGAATGAAGGGGGGGGAATGGGACAACTGTAATGCCATAATCAATAAAACATATTTTTTTAAAAGTTTGCTTGAAACAGAATAAATATTATTCCAAGAAATCAGTAACAGTGAAATCTGCCTGTGTGGGTCCAGGCAGCTTCAAAGAGGCAAATTTTGTTTTATGGGAGCCCACCAAATCTGTACATTTATGAACCCTTCAAAATCAACTTGCTCATTCAACTTACCAATTTCTTAGCTTCTGCTCCACTCTTTATTTTGTGTGGGTACTTTGCTATCACAGATGCTGCTTTTCTATAAGGAAAAAAAAAGAAATTAGAAATTAAAAATCCAGCAAGGTCTTAGTTTTTCTTAAACTGAAACACACATACAAACAAATATGCAGCCTAAACTTTCACCAAGATGATTTTCCACATCTGTGTAAAACTTATAAAATACACAGATGAGCTGAGAGACCACCCGTGCCTCTAACTTTTAGAAGGGTATTTTGAAAATCCTCACATTGATAACATGATCTTAACTGTCTATGTAAAACTAGGGAGATTCAGGAAATAGTGGCATTTCCTTTTGGGATTAAGTGGAAAATATCACTGGGCCTTTGTTAATAGCTAGTTTTTGGAAATTATTCATAACTTTTTTTTTAAATTTTTTATTTACTTATCTTTAGAGAGGGGAAGGGAGGGAGAAAGAGAGAGAAACATCAATGTGTGGTTGCCTCTCATGTGGCCCCGACTGGGGACCTGGCCTGCAACCCAGGCATGTGCCCTGACCGGGAACTGAACCCGAGACCCCTTGGTTCACAGCCCACACTCAGTCCACTGAGCTACACCAGCCAGGGCTATTCATAAGTTTTTAATAAAAATGTGTCACTTAGTATTCAGACTACTAGAGACCCAACTGGCTAATGGATGGCTATTTTTAAATTCATGGTTTAAAACTGCATTCCCCTATGTCCTTAATAACAATTTTTTTTTCATTGCTCCCATTTCAGTTCCATATAAGGCAAGTGACCTGTATTTCTTGACCATCTCCACACATATCCAGCTCAGTAATCTGGTGACAGATGGGGCACACCCTGGGAACACACTGATGGTATCCTGTCTATAATTTCTATGCTAAATGTGGTTTAATGTTGATGCTGATAAATAGCCATGATATATCTAAGTCTAAAGCATAAATATTGGATGGTCTTTGGAGTCTTGGCTTGCACATATAAACCTTTAGACTAGGATTTCAACTTATCTATTAGCACAATACTAATCAGTCTGGAAAGGTAGGTTGAGGGCAGTTTGTGAAGAGAATTGTTTCAGTAAAGGCAAGTAGTTTCAGATCACTGGCACTATGGGGCAAAGCCTAAAAAGGAAGAATTAGATTATGAAAGGTCTTTTGTATGCCACAATGCTTTTAGGCTCTAGCGGGGTAAAGAAGAAATATTTAATTAGTTGATATGGAAGAATGACAAGATAACATAACTATTTTCAAAAGAATATTTTGGCCACAATCAAGAGAAATGTGTATTGGGAAAGAGAGGAGCATACAGGGGGTTACCTGCATTTCCAGACTTATTTCCCACTCAGACCATAACCTTTAAGCAAACTGAATTTCTGACCTACTAGAAAATGCTATCCCCCTTCATGTTTCAATGCCTTGGCACATTATCAGTCCTATCTCTAGACTGTCCGTCCCCTCACTTATCCTTGATGGGTTTGTTCAAGACTAAATATTTTCTCTTTGAAACCTGCAATGACTCAAATTATAGGCTTGAATATCTCTCTGATTCCTGGATGATCAAATGCATGAATGACAGTATAATTTCTACAATGGAAGTCATAGGAGGTAAAAGAGAGAATGTAATCATTTTTTAATTACACTGGCTAGCTGGAAAGGGAAGGAGAGAATTGAGTTTAGTTTTGAAAAGATAAAGATAAAGGGAACAGAGACCTAAAAATCTGAAGAAAAGCCCAGTGAGATTTGGAGTCATTGATATACCAGTATCCAAAGCTACCAAGAATAGTAACATTGCCAGGCAAAGTATGAGAGTGAGAGAAGAGAGTGAAGGGCAGACCTCTGGGAACTACCAACATTAAAGGGTAGGAGAGAAGAGGTTAAGAACAGAAGGTGTGCCATCACTGAAGTCAGGGGTAAGACGTGAATGGAATGAGCTACTAGTGAATGTCAGAGAATGTCTCATCTTATTGATGAGACGGAGGTGAGAGCATTTTCAGAGGAATGGTAGAATGGAAATTTTACTGTAATATGATAACAAATGACAAAGAATTAAGAAGTCCAGGCAAGGAACAAAGATTATTCAAGAAGGTTAACTATAAAGTGGAGGAAAGGGGAAGTTAAGAAGATTGTTTTGTTTTTGCTTATAGGAACTGAGGGATTTGGACATGTTTAGAAGCTAAAGATCAGAAGCAGGTCGATGTGAAAATAATGTCTAGGATAAGGCCCTGGTGAGATGAACAAGGATGGGATCCAAAGAGGTGACAGAGTAAGACACAAACCGCATGAAAAAATGTGTTTCCTTGAACCACATCTATTTCACAGCACAGACCTCATCCACTGTCTTTTGTTATGGCTTAAAAGCAAACTGTATTTTCAGTAATTAATGTTTGATAAGAGGAAATCAGCCTATTTTCAGTAAGAATTGGGAATTGAACAGAATTGATCCTGCAGAGCTCTGCCCATGGTCTCCAAGAAAGATTGCAACCTTACTCCGTAAGGTTCCACCACAGAGTCAATGCCCTGTTGTTGCTTTTTTTCCCCTCTTCTTGCAGATGGTCCAAAGATCCACTAGCCCCTCAGCCCTTTTAACTGCCACACATCCTAGAACGCATGCTCCCAGAGATTGCTGCATCATCCCACCTGTAAGCATTGTATTTGTGGATGGCCTGGTTCACGTTCTTCTCAAAGTTTGCGAGTTCTGAAAAGGCAACAAGAGGATCGGGTGAACAAGAACCACGAGTAAGCAAACGAGAACTGAATTTCCCGTAAGGGAACGAAACAGCCTTTTAAAGGACGGTGACGCCCCACTCCTACACGGGCCAGACCAAAGGCAGCACAAGCGGTGACAGAGTCCCCAGCAGTGCTGACAACCAGCCACGGGGGCGGAAAAAAGGTCAGCACGGAAGACTACTCACTGCGAGAGGCGATCCCATCTACTGGGCTGTCGGGACGGGAGAGAAGGGAGTGAAAGCCATGGGGGGTGTGAGGTGGGGAGAAGAAAGCCAGCGGCCACCGGTGAGGTGCTAACCTGTGAGCATGTCGGTGATTCCCCCGTTGAGAGTCTCCTGTGGCGCTTTCCGTTTGCTCATGGTGGCTTTCACCCGAGAACCTCAGAGTGCACAGACCCAGGGACCGGCCCTCCTCTCCGAGCTTTAAGGAGAGGCAGAGACTTGGAGAGGAGAAGTAGGACCTGCCCGGCCGCTGAACAGCCGGCTTGACCCACTGAACAATGGCTGCCTCTGACAGGGGGCGCGGCGCACGGCGCACGGCGCACGGCGCGCCTGGTGACGTCACGATAGGAGGCGGCGCCGGCGCGGAGCTGGGACCGCGCTACTTCCGTTTGTGAGACACGGGAGCCCAACCGGGAGGGTGGAGAAGACCTGGGATTTGGATTTGGCTGGAGGAAAGTGGACACCTCAGAACTGCATCCCAGTGGGGTTAGGAATACGTGGGTTCCTAACCTAACACGTATCTGTTTGCCCAGTACGTTTCTCTGAAATCCTCTTCCTAAAAGGGGAAAAATTGGAGCCCGGTTTTTGACGCTGAAGTCAAACTTACGATGGTAGGGTCTATAAGGTGTTGGGATGGGAGAATACTGAAGACTGCGCACATTTTGTGTGCACAATAATAATTATTGAATTCATGACGTATTTAAAATGTGGTATGAGGCAACACCAAGGGTGCCTCATACCACATACTGTCAAAACTTTATGTAAGCATGTAGTGCAGTCCACAGTGCCCTGGCGTACTACGGGCAGCAGGAGTCTGGGATGAAATATGACGGTAATAGGAAAGCCCCCTAAGTGAAGCGTTTTTTATTCCCCGGCCTTTTGTGGTGGGGGCCAAAGTGAAAAAGCCACTAGAAAGGGAGAACTGCTTAACCTAAACTGTTATTACAACATGATGACCTATATCTAAGGAATTTAGTTCTGCTTGAGAAATGAAAATGTAACATCAGCAATATTTCCCGTCTTAATTCCTGGGGTTCATATTAAATTGCCACATTCCAGGCAATTGCTTTGTAAATAAAATTAAAAGCTTATTACAAAGTGATACATGATTGGCTGTAGGAAAAAGTATAAAAGAAAAAATTAAAATCAATGAACATCTTGCCATCCATCTTAATACTATTAATATTTTGGGGCATACATTTCCAAATTCATTTAAAATTCCCATTATATTTTAGTACTGGAATAATGCTTTAGGTATAGTTTCTTTGATTAGGTTGTGCTTGGTTGTGTTTTTTGTGTTTACAGTATCAGTGTGCATCTTAAGTTATAAGTATTGGACATTTGTATTTCTCTTGTGAACTTCCTATTTATATCCTTTGTCCATTTTTCTAATGGTGTATTTGTCTATTAATTTGCTAAATTTTTAACATATTACTCCTAACCCTTTCTGTACACTGTATTTGTATGGTTTTTGTAAATTTTGTGTCCACTACTTATCCATTGCCTTTTACCTTTATTCTGAAGCTTCTTCACGCTTTGATTTCCACCTTCAATTAGAAGTGAGTCATCTGGATTTCTGCGCAACTCCTTATTTCAGTGTTGAGATTGTGAGCTTACCCTATGAACTATGCCTAAAATTGTGTCCAGGTCCATTGTCTGCTCCTACACCCGGGACAGGGAGGAATATGAGGACAGCGAGAAGCCCCTCCACGTCTACTATTGTTTGTGTGGCCAGATGGTTCTGGTGCTGGACTGTCAGTTGGAGAAATTGCCCATGAGACCCCGGGATCGGTCCCGGGTGATTGATGCTGCCAAACACGCCCACAAGTTTTGTAACACAGAAGACCAGGAGACTATGTATGTTCGCAGGCCCGAAGGCATTGAACGACAGTACAGGAAGAAATGTGCGAAGTGTGGACTGCCACTCTTCTACCAGTCCCAGCCAAAGAATGCTCCTGTGACCTTCATTGTGGATGGAGCAGTAGTTAAGTTCGGCCAGGGTTTTGGGAAGATGAATATATATACTCAGAAGCAAGAGCCTCCTAAGAAGGTAATGGTGACCAAACGAACCAAAGACATGGGCAAGTTCAGCTCTGTCACTGTGTCTACTATTGATGAAGAGGAAGAGGAGATTGAGGCTAGGGAAGTTGCTGACTCATATGCACAGAATGCCAAAGTGATTGAAAAACAGCTGGAGCGCAGAGGCATGAGCAAAAGGCAGCTGCAAGAGCTGGCTGAACTGGAAGCCAAAAGAGCAAAAATGAAGGGGACATTGATTGACAACCAGTTCAAATGATCAGGACCTTTCTCTGAACCCAGGCTAGAGGCAAGCATTTAGACTAGGAGGCCAAAAACTTTTTCTTGAGTACATGGCCTGGTCCTGCCTTTATGCCCCAGCAGAATGCTTTATGTTGCTTCCTACATTCAGGAGGTCTTTGAATCCATCTGACCTTTCTACAAATAGATTTTTTAAATAAATAAAGACCCATTTATATGGGTCTTCCATAGTATTTTTTTTGTCCATTCGATGTCAATTTCTTTCGTTGTGTAGAAACTCTATGACTAGATCAGTGCTTAAGTGTCTTTAGTTTCCAAAGTAGCTGTTCTTTAATAAAATGTTTAAAAATATTTGAAAAAAAGGTGGGTCTTAGGTTTTTTTGGTTCATTTTTCCTATCCATCTCTATTCCAGGCTATATTCATATATTTTGTTCTGAAGAATGATCATTCTTCATTAAAGTTTTTATTCACCTCTGAATAATGAATGTTACAACTTTAGGAAATTGTGGTATCATTTTTTAATGTGGGATGATTTTTTTAACTTAAAAAAAAGAACCAGTGCCAGAAAACCCAAGGAAGATGATCAATTCTCTGTCCTTTTCTTTTTGGATCAACCATTAACATTTGATCCACTTAACTGATGTGGATCCCGCTCCTGGAGTCCAAAGCACGTGGATGAGACAAGACAAATTCACACAGACACTCTCTCAAAGGGAAAGCTCCTCAACCCTTGCCTTTACAAGCTTTAATTGGGTTCAATTTGCACAGTGTATAGGTGAAGCTCATCAATCATTGTCAGGCATAAATTATTAAACAATAGATAACATTGAAAGAATTCTGAGGGCTTATTCTGAGTCAGGATCAGATAGTTAAAGGGCCATAAAACTTTGAGGAACAAACTCACTTCCTGCTTGGATCCTTATCATTTAAATTGAGAGTATTAGCAAAGTAGGTTTCATAGAATTTTATGTATTCTTTCTTAGTCCTGATCACCCTAGGGAACCTGCCCTTTCCAGCACAGGGCTGCACCCACCTCCAGCAATGTTTCAGGCTTAAGTCATTGTTTCAGGTTTAAGTCAGGCAGGGGAAGTAAGGCAGGGAAGAGATTAGGAGACTTCTTGCAGACAGAATGAGGGCTCAGGCTATGTTAAAGCTGAGGGGCCAGGGTCCATCACCCCCTTTTTCTATAGCCCAAGTCCTTCCCTAAGGGCCCTTTTGCAACCATGCCTATTTTAGGTTGTCATGGAACCTTATGCGTCTTTGGCTAACCAGTCATCCGCCTGGGGACAAGCAGAGTGAAGACAAGGGGGCAGAGGTGGTGCCCCCACAAGGAAGATAAGCTTTGTCTCATATGTGACTTATGGTCCCAACGTCCTTCACTCAGCCTTAGCCACAGGGGATTACAGCTTCTGAAACTAGGCAGGGCAGTTCCCAACACTTAACCACTCTATTCTTGAAATAATGTTTTCAATTGGCTTCTAAAAATAGTATATGCTCTGCGTTCTCCCTCTTCCTTACTCTTCTGTACTAGCCGCTCCTCAAGTTTGTTTTTTTTGTGTTGGTTCCCAGTTCCTCCTCCATTCACCAACCTCTGTGGGAAAGTGCCTCTGGCGTTGATCTAACCAGTTTTTCCACCTTGTCCAGTTTCACCTTTTTAAATACCATGTCTAGCATGTAGGTTCCTAAATTTGTATTTCTAGCCCTGATCCCTCTGGCGCTCTAGTACCACATATCAAACTGCCTACTGGCTATCTCTAATTGTCCCCCGTAGGCATCTCAAAGATAAAATATCCCTCAGAACTCCATTCTTGCCCCACTAGCTTCTCCTTAACTTTTTTCCATCTCGGTGCCACTTTTTAAAGTTTATTGGGGTGACACTGGTTTCAAGTGCACATGATTTGTATATTGCATTGTGTGCCCACCACCCAAAGTCAAATCATATTCTGTCATCATATATTTGGTCCCCTTTACTCTTTACTACCCTCCACTTCCTTTACTCTGGTAACAATGCTGTTGTGTCTATGAGTTTCAATTTTATATCCCATATATGAGAGAAATTTTGGTTCTTAGTTTTTCTTATTTAGCATAACATTGGCAATGTTCATCCACGTTGTCACAAATGGCAGTATTTCAACTTTATTTATGGCTGAGTAGTATTTGGTTGTTTCTATGTCTTGACCCCTGTGAATAATGCTGCAATGAACATAGGGGTGCATATGTCTTGCAAATAAATGTTTTCAAGTTTTTTGAGTAGATAGCCAGAAAATGGATTGCTGGATCATATGGTAGCTCTATTCTTGATTTTTTGAGGAACTGCCATACTGTTTTCCATAATGGCTGAACCAGTTTACATTACTACCAGCAGTGAATGAGGGTTCCCTTTCCCTCATTGTATTTTGTCCACAGTACCTCCAACCCTTGTCACTTGTCTTGCTGATAGTAACCACTCTAACAGATGTGAGGTAGTATCTCACACCTGTGAGATAGCTACTCTCTCACTAATAGCTAGTGAAGTTGAACATCTTTTCGTTTATCTGTTGGCCACTTATGTCTTGGGAGAAGTGTCTGTTCAGGTTCTCTGCCCATTTTTTAAAATTGGATTGTTTGTTTGGTATTCAGTTGTATGAGTTCTTTGGACATTAACCCCTTGTCAGAGCTAATGTTTGCGAATATCATCTCTCATTTGATTGGTTGCTTTTTAATTAATGATACTTTAATCCACCCTTCCATCAGACAAAAACCCTAGGAGTCACAATTGCTCTTTTCACACTGCACATCTAGTCTGTCAGCAAGTCTTGTCTGATCTGTCTCCAGAATACACATATTCTCAGCTGGAGTACCTCTCACCACCCCTACCGCCCCTACCCTAGTGCAGGCTACATGATCTCGCTCCCCGATTACTGCATGACCTCAGTGGGCTTCCTGTTTCTCCTCTTGTTCCCTCCAAGTAGGACAAGAGTGTTTTTTTAAAAATGCATATCAGAATATGTCATTCATTTGCTTAAATACTCTCTCATTGCACTTAGAAAAAAATCCACACTTCTTTCCATGGCCTACAAGGCCTGACATGACCTGTCCTCTACCATCTCTCCCAGGTCCCACTCTTCCCTTTGTTTCGCACGTGTCACAATTTACTGCACACATGTACCTGCTCCAGGTACATTACTCAGGCCTTTGCCTGGCTGCCTTCTTCTCTCCATCCAAACCTCCGCCCAGTAGTCACATCCTCGTCACATTCCTGAACAACACTTACTGACACACTCTATCCATTACTATGTTTGATTTTCTTCATAGCATTGAAACTATTAGAAACTTACACATGTTATTTGCCTGTTATCTACTGCTTGCTCTACCCACCTTCCCACCAAGGTAAGCTCCATGAAAGTAAGGAGTTAATTCTTGTTTGCCATATAGAGGTGCTCAATAAGTATTTGTTGAATATTCTAAATTGCAATTTTGCTCAAGTGTCAAATGGTTCAGATTTCACAGGATGTGGACACATCATGATGTAGAATGACTAATCACCCCAGGTTGGCAGGAACTGAGAAGTTTACTAGGATACAGAACTTTACAGGTTAAAACCAGGAAAGTTCTGGGTAAACCAAGATAAGTTGCTCAGCCCTAAGATATGTCACCATTTCAACAAATCGTGACAGTAACAAAATACTGCCAATAGCTTCTGCAACTTTCAGCAAAATGACGTATAATGAAACCATTTTTATCATAGGATAATTGATATAAACGAGTTAAGTTTCTATAGTACCTCATCAACCCTATAGCGAAATGATATTGAATGAAATGTTTTTCAAAGACCTGCTTACTTTAATATACCAGTGTACAATGTGGCTCTAAGAGGCAATTAAAGCATGAAGCATTTCCAAAACTTACGTGACCACGAAACCCTTCTGTAGGATTTCCACAAAAGCAATTTTGTGAAACTCTTCTGTTCCACCTTTACTCTCTAACCAAACTCATTTTTGTCATCATCTGAACTCGTTTTGCTCTTCTGCTTTTATGTAAAGTTTTATGAAATGTCGAAGAGGCAGTACTAGTGCTATGGCACTGTTTGATAAAGGCACTATTCCATCTTACAAAATTTAAGTTGGATTATGAGTTCACAAGTCACAACCAAAGGCACTGTAAAAGTGCATTGTGAAACCCGCTATAAAGTGTTTGAGTCATATTAGAAGAAACAGAAACGAGTTTTTAAATAAAACAATTTAATACTGCTAGATGATACAAGGGGCAGGGAGTCCCCGCCCCCCACACCACTGCACACAGATGAGTCTGCGCAAGGACAGGAGGTGTGAGCATCGTGGTCAGCAGGCCAGTGGTGACAGGTAACCTTTTCTCCTTTCCTTCTTCTGCATGACAACTCATTCCCAAGTTATCTTTGGGAACCAAAGGAAGGGAATTGCTCCCCATCCTGGTTCTAGTGAGTCACTCTGGGGCTGAAAGGACTACAGACAAGGGAGCCTGCATTCACAACCTTGCCAAAGGGAGAATAATGACCAAAGTGTAGGTAAAAGGACAATTTTAGCAGCAGTAAAATGAAAAAAATGGGAAAGAGGCCAAGTGCATGATTTAAGTCTGTTCAGGAGAAGCCAGATCCAGTGGAACACGGACGGTGAGGACGTGGGTCAGGGCCTCTGGGGATCAGGAGGGCTCAGGAGAGGACAGGCGGGTGCCAAGTGCTATTCGTACAATGTCCCAAAAAATTCACTTCAGACGTTTGTCCAGTGATCTTTGTGCAGCAGTACTTGAGCACTTTTTTCAGAGCAGAGGAAGGAGCTGCTGTGGTTTAGTCTCCCTAATGCTTGTGCCTGGCATCCATGTTTGCTGGGCCTCTGGGATGGAGGACTTCCAGTGCACAGACAAGCTGTCGGCAGGGCCCATGGGAGGGCCACACCCTTGGTCCACAGTCAATGCCACAACTGTGGGGCAAGTATGAAGGTCTCCATCTGGGTGCCAAAGATGCTGGGTGCCAAAGACATCTATATAGCAGGGGCCACTGTGGGAGGGCCTCAGGCCAGGCAGCCTCATCAGGTGGTCAAGGCCACCCACACAGTCATGAGGCCTGCTCCAAGCTATTCTGCTCTTCTTCCTCTGTCTGCAACCAGCTCCAGTCTAGAGACTGAAAGTCAAATGGCAGGTTAAAAATACAGCAGCCACCAATACACCTCGGGCTGTTTTCCTTCTCCGGGAGGTAACCAGCACAATGTAGAAGGAAAT